TTCTCATACATTTACAACATATCGTATTCGCTCAGCAGCTCCAACTTTTGCCCCGTAAACTTCAACATGGCATCAAAACTTAAGCCGGGGGTGGTGAAGTAATGGGCTGCGTCTAAGTTGTATGCCCTCACACATACGTCTCTGAAGTTGTGGCGGTCCTGGACGGATCCCACAAAGGTGAGCGTGATGGTGGTTTAATAAAAAAAAAATAAGCACACGTTTTATTGGTCGCAGAGGTGCGATGATTAGTTTTATTTTTTACAAAAAAAAACTACTGCGACAAACAAAAGATAGAATGCGCGATAACAAAAAAAAAATCACAATGTATTGTTTGGTGAGGTGTGTGTGACCCGGCGAGGACGGTGGGTGCGTGGTGTTTTGTCACTCGAAGCGCGGTCGTAGAAGTGAACTTACTATACTAAAGCCAACGAGAGAGTACTATTYCTTCGCGCATCCAAATGATCGAGCTCCGCGGTTTCGTACCCAAATTTCTCCCACTCTACCATCTAGTTGCCGCCGTAAATACCCCCACTCACTAAACGGCGGCTGTCGACTAATTCCACGGCCGCCGCCAACCACTGGTTGTATACACCGGCTCAAGTAACACACCACCCAAAAAAAATAACAGCTGGCGTCTGCCGTAGTGCCGAACCTATTATGTACCTAATACAGCAACAATACAAATAATGTGTGTGTAATATCAATATTTTAATTATGCAWTTATTTATTTTAACAAAAATGTCCAATTGTGCATTACATAATTTTTATACACATAAAAAAATCATTAAATTACAAAAAAAAAAAATTATAATAAAAAAATATTTGAATGATAAAAAAGTCTGATTCCGAACAACTCGTATCACCTGTTATCGTCATGATATGACGTCCTTCTGCTTCGGGAAGTTCGTCAAATACTTCATCTGTTATATGTTCAATGTTCAAAAACTTTTCTTCCTCCTTGACGACATGTCCCACAAAATTCGTCCACATTTCCGCTGTCACATGTTCCACGCCTTTTTTTAATAACTCCAGTACATCCTTTATTTTAAACGTATTATTATGTGTCCGGACATAGCTTTTTACAGAAGACCACGCGAGCTCGATAGGGTTTAGCTCGCAGTGGTATGGGGGTAATCGCAATACGATTTTGCCATTGTCTTTTGCGTACTCGTCTATTACGTACTTGTCGTATTGGTTTTTTATTTTTTTAACTCTTATTATTAAATCATTTTTGACTATTGGATGGTTAACGATTTCACCTTTCATTTCAAGCCAATCGATAATATCTTTTTTTTTCCAAGACATAGTTGGTATTTTGCATTTCTTTACGGAGTGATACGAAGCATTATCCATCACTATGACGGCGTTTTCTTTTAATAGTGGAAGAATTCGTACAAACCATTCATAGAATGTATCGCCATTCATCTCGTCATGGTAGTCCGTAGAATTGGTCTTTGATTCGAAACACAAAAGACCCCCGGGACAAAACCATCTGTCGACCCGATGTGTAAGACGATGAGACGCTTACCTTTTCCCGAGGGTTCTTTTTGTCCTGTGGTTAGGCCCTTGAGGAATGCATCTCGWGATGAATTTATTGTGGTATCGGTCCACGTTCTACTGTGTGTCTCGCCTGCGTTGACCCACGTTTCGTCCAAATAATAAATTGGTCTGTTTTGCTCTCTATAATGCTTTATTTTGACCAAATAACTTCGGCGCCAAGTTATTAAATCTTCTCTTTCGAGTAGTGCACTATTACGTTTTTTTTTTACGTATTGAAATTGTAAATCTTTCAACACTTTTTGAAATGACGACCGCTTAATGTTTGGAAGTGTTTCGTCTTCATTAATGGCGATTAACATTTTATCGACTGTTGGTACTTCGCGGTTCCTCCAAAAATTGTGTATTTTCTGTCTTATTGCATTTTTATCGAATTCATCGATTTTTTCGATTATTGTAGGTCGAATTTTTTTCTTGTTCGGCGATGTAATTGTACCTTGATTCTTATACTCCGATAATATGTTTTGAACTGACCGCTGTCCAATACCCGAAGATTTTGAGATATCGACGATCATTTCTCTTAAGGTCATTCGAGGGCTGTCAGGATTTTCAAGCTGGTGTTTAACTATTTTCTTATATAAATTGACAATAA